GCCTGGAAAACGTTGACCACTACTCGCTCTAGCCGGTCAAACGGTTAATCGAGGCCATTGCGACCAACAGCGGTTCTCAGCCCTTCCCCTCTTCATTCCGATTTATAAACTTCGAAACTAGTACTTTGGAAACTTGTCGATCTTTCTACCCATAGATTGATCGGTTTCCTTTTTTTCTTTTTTTTTTTTTTATTTGCCCTGATTAACAAACTTGGACATCAACATCGATGATACATTTCCTTGTGTTCAAAAAAACAAAGAAAATAATACAATTTTACCAAGGAAATATCATCGACTTGACGGATTAAAATTTTCTCCTAGCAAAATTTTTACGAGCTTTTATAAATTTTTTTTCATTCGACCAATATTCATTGGACAAAATATTTTCCACGACTCGAGACCAACTAACGCGTTATAACGTTTCGTTATTTTCAGATAAGTCGAGTGGAAGTTGTCGGTGTTTGGTCGCAGGGAGATGCATTCGCATAGACATAGGATCGAAGGACGCAACGCATCGGGAACATGCAGCCGGGGAAATGCTAGGCGGCACGAGGGGTAAGTATCAATAATTGAGCACCATGGGGGTGGCTCCGCTTGGCCATTTAGCGGTCGAACGAAGGGGATGGACCGCGGATGCCCATGGTACGGGGATATCGGTGGATGTATCGCACGGCGAGGCCTGCTATCGACATGTCGACGATGCCAGGCCGGGGCTGTATATTCCACGATATAGGAAACTATCCTAGCCGCGATCATGATACGCGAAAATACCATCTGTCATTCGGGGGTGCGTGCCAGACCCCGATCCAATGGCCGACCACCACCCACTTCTCTCTTTCCACCACGATTTTCACTCCGTGCCGTTTGCCTCCCCTTCGTTCTCTTTACTTTTTTTTCCCCCCCCTCCTTATCCTTCTTACTCTCCTTAGTCTTAGTTTTTTAGTTTTCCTTCTCGATGGGAGGAGAAGAAAATAATTTCTCTCCCATTTACGAATTATTTATTTTTAAGTTATAAATAGTTAATTTAAGGATTGATCGAGAGTAGAAAGCTTAGCTTAGCTTAGTCAGCCGATTGTTAAAATTACCGAAAATGTTTGCTTCAATCACGTGATCGTAAAAGTCGGCCAGTTGATCCAGGGCTCAGAAACAGTGGCGGGTCTCGAAACAATTGGCGTAAACGACGCGTACGAGGGGGGGTATTGAAACTAGTTGGCGACGTTCTCGTGAATAATCTCCGTGGCCCGTAGTCGAATTCATTTTCCAATTAAGAGGCTACAGGGATTCGCATTTGACTCTCTCGTGGATCGATCGTGGTGCCGTTAAATTGAGGTCGTCGGAGGGAATCGCCGTCGAAAAAACGCGATTAAGCGTGACTAACGATAGCTCGAAAGTCGCGGCGCAATGTGTCGAACAATGTGTACTTATCGCGTCCACCAATGTTCTCTCGAGATCGAACCATCGTTTTTTATGATCGCGCATCCCGCCATTCTTTCACTCCTCGCGTCCGTGAAATCGTATCAGTCGCCTTTAAAACCTATCGAACTCGAAATTAATAATTCACGGTCCCTCGCTTTATTAAAACTTTTCTCCGAGGAATAAATTCATCGTTTCGACGTTAACTCTAGCCGACGTTAGTTACCCTTAATTCGGGAAACAAAATTTTAATCGCTCGCCCATTAGAAAAGAAGGGAAGAAGGGATAGAATCGAAAGAATTTAAAGCGCATTAAGAAGAAGTTGGGCCCCGTTGGAACTATGGCGAGTTGAAAAGGGGTTGAAAGTCGATCGGTAAAATTTCTCTCGATGCGCGTCTACGCGTCTGGTGTCGTAGTTCTGCCTGTGTACGTTTTAACCCCCATTAGTGACCCAACCTCTGGAGGACGACTGTGGTGGTGGACTCCGTTACACGAACAACTTAATGTTATGTAAAAATAGCTGAGGGGGAGGGATCGCAGACACACCGGCTCTCCGTGTATATTAATGCGGGTCGAAAGAAGAGCGAGAACGTGGCGAGGAAAAGCGTGGCAGACGAGAGCCAGTCGAACCTCGAGCAGATGCTCACCGTTGGAATATCTAAATAAATCCGCGTGTCGGCCACCCTTAAAATCCTTGAGTCGAATAAGTAATAACGTTCACCGACCGCGGGTTAGATTTCTCCCTTTTCCGTATTCCACCTTGCCCTTGCCTGCATAAGCGAGCGCGTCCGATTTCGGGACTTTAATTGGCCCGGGGGAATTTCGCTGCGTGGACTTACTTTACGAGCAAACTTTCCGAGATATTTCGTGCCTCTGGAGACGAGAGAACGCGTACTTTCTTTTTTTCTCCTTCTTCTCCTTCTTCTTCTTTCCCCTCTTCTCCACCGGGAGACAGGGGCCGAAGGGAGAAAAGGCGAAAAGGTACGAGTAATCGCAATGGCGGAGGTCGTCCCTTTCCTTTTTCTTCGCGAGATTTAATCAGTTCCGCCGTCGGGATAGGGACGTCGATCTAGGACCGGATTATGAAATCTTTGGAACAATGCGACAGTTCTCTAGCTCTTTGAAAGAGTTACGAAAATAATCGATCTTCTACCTTTTCAATTTTTCTCTCCCTTTTGCTTCGATCTTTACCGAATATATCGAATTACTCGAGGATAGATAATTTAAATTTTTCGCGTAGAATATTTCTTCGCGTGTATAAATAAGATGTCGTAAGATCGTTTCACATGGTAAAATTTGGGAGTTTCGGAATGGGTTATATCGATAAATCGCATCAGTTCTTAGAGGGCAATTAGCAGATAGTAATCGCGCGGGGGTTTAAGCAGTTTTCGTGCGTTAGATTAGTATTAGAGGGGAGGGGAGGAGGTTGTGTAGGCGTGTGCAAACATACGAGAGGCCGTCGAGTTCGTCGCAACGACAGGACGATTTACGAGGTTTCACAGGCTCGCCTGTCGGCCAGATAGAGCGAATGTGTCAATTACGATAAAGCTCATCGGCGATCGATGTATCTGATGAAATTATTTAGACGCCCGCTGTCAAGCAACGACGCGAACCTATCCCGGTTCACCGCGATATTACGCAGCCTCGCACTATTGTATCGCAAATACAATTACT